AACTGTATAAAATGTAAAATGTGAAGTTCTAGCTACCAGAATTATTAGTTTGCCTTTAAAACTTCACTACCCCATGTTGACTTTCCCCTCATGGCCCAGGGAACTCGATGCTACTGTAATGAACTAAACAATGATTTGCCCACCCAGAAAGAAGCAGAAGTGTATGCAGCTAGGATGCTATGAGCCGCTTTCCGTACTCATCCATGTCTCCAGGTGTCTATCCTTTGCTAGAGTTAGCCTTGTAGTTCTTATAGTGTGCTGTGCTGCTGCCTGCTTGTGGGTCTTTGCAGATGTTTTCCCTCCTTCGGAAACCGCTCTTTCCAAACTCTTTCCAAAGCTACTTGTGCACTTCCTTAGACGCCTTATCGTCAACATGTCCCACCTTTCCCAGATTACACTGATTCTTCCTGTTTTATGTTTCATGGTACCCTATACTCTACCATACAATTTTTTTATAATTATAATTAGAACACTTATGTAAGTATTGCTTGATTTTTATCCTATATTCTGGAAGATTCATGGGGCAGATTTCACAACCTGCTTTGTTCACCACTGTGCTGTGCCCCCAGGGTTTAGAACAATACCCCGCAGATAGTAGATACTCATCAAATAGTAAGTGTTCAATAAATGGACATGTGCATTAAAACATTTCCACTTCATTTTATCCCTCCCTTTCTTCCATTTGGTTATATTATATACTGTAGTGTTTTCTAAAGAGCTTGTTAAAAATAATTGATTTTACCTATTTATTTGAGGGACATAAATGAACAAAGTGAGGTCCCGCATAGGATTCCTGCCCCAAGTCCCCAGAAACTCAATCCCACAGCTAGAGTCATCACCTGCCGCCTCCCAGGGTTCCTGTTAGCCAAACGCCAAAATCAGCAGTAGAATCAGACCTTGAACCCTGGCATTTCAACAGGGGTATAGGCATCTCAAAACGGATCTTAACTGCAGCACCAAATACAGACCCCTGTGCTGTATTACTCTGTTCTCTACTGTGATGAAAGAATTCACAAGAAGCTCTAAGCTCTGTACTTACCTGATCAAGTCTCATATTTCTTGTTCAGTGCCCCCTAAGATCTACAAGAGCATCCACTGGTGAATCATTAAGTCATAGCAGCAACAAACAGGTTAGGGCCCAGCATGAAGCTGGCCTGACATCTAGCCAGGCTTCGGGCTGTCACAGAAATACCTCCATTCATTTCAGAAATGTGCTTACCACAGAAAGATGAGGCTCAGCTTGTCAGATTTATGAGACAGTGAATTTTCAGGATGCCTTCAATCAATAGAAAAATAGACATTCTCATCTGAAGGCAGTGGGGATAGGACTAGCTGGGAATTCCAGAGTAAGGGAAATAAGGTGATTCTTGAAGAATTCTTTTAACACAGCAATGTGCTATCACAACGCACTAATTTACCACAGGGAGAATGACTCATGGAATAGTTTGACTCAATTACTACCAATTTTTGGGAAATTTCAAGGTATGTGTTGGTTAAAAGAGGGACTAGTCAGCATGGGAGACATAGAAAGGCAGGAGAGAACTCTAGCTGACAAGTTCATAGACAGTAGAACTGCAGGAACCATGGTCAGGTTGGCAAAACCTTCCCTGCCTGTTGAGAAGGCTCATCAAGCTACCCCTACCTATTGAGGCTTAATGTCATTTCATCTAAATCTTTGTTTTGACTCTGTGTTCATCAAGCTACCGTTGGTTATAATGTGGTTTCTCACAAAAGTCCCAGAAGACTGTCTGCAAGGAGAGGATATGCTCATCTTACACGCTTTGGGCCTAACAGCACTGTTTCTCATTGGAAGCACATTAGTGTTGGACACTTGGATAGCCTGATTCTGACAGTGAGCATACCTCTCCTAGATGAACAGTGAGAATCAGGTGTCAGGGCCTGTATGGCTGAAGTCAAATAAGAAACCTGATACAACCACTACAGATCATCACCCTGGCAGGCCCTGAGGGAAAAGGTTAGCCTTTTCAGGCAACACCCTCCCTACTTGTGCTCTAAACACTTTCTTTCCAAATTTAACATGGAGACCAGAGAAAAGGAAGTTTCTGTTGGCTACACAACAGAGGGTAGCCGGTACCAACAGCATACCCTCTCCTAGGTGAACAGTGAGAATCAGGTGTCAGGGCCTGTATGGCTGAGGTCAAATAGGAATCCTGATACAACCACTCCTTCCTCCTACTTTTCTGCTGCTTGCCCACTTCCTGATTCTCATCGTCTTTCTGGAGTCAAATGTGAGTTGGATTTCAAGTGTCATGATTGGAGCTTTTAAGGGCTCTACAACAGAGGGTAGCTGGTAGCAACAGTTTCAAATACAGGGAACTTGTAAAACTCTAAAAAATAATAACTATGGGGGAAGACAAAGTATAAATGAACCAAATCCAGCTACTTCACAGAAGAGCACATAGACAATGCCGAAAGTCAGTAAACTGAAAAATATAAGGGACCCAGCTTATTCAGAGATATGGAGGTCACTGTCAGAAGACAGAGCTGTAGACGTTCTCAGTGCTTACCTTCAAAAACATCATTGAGAAAGAATGACAAAATAAATTTTCAAAATACAAGTTATTTTTTACTATTGCTGTTTCACTTTATGATTTGCTTTTGGATCATGTGCATTTTGATTTACATATTAACCAATTCACATAGAAGGTCAGCTATATACAAGCGCTAAGCTTAACTTGCAAATCTTTTTTCCCTTAAAAATGTACTAGAGGAAGCAGAAAATAAACAGGTAAAACATATGGTGGGTCAGACAGTGTTAGGACTTTATTTCTATCCACAAGAGATTTGAACAGATGTGAATGAGGTGGGATGATGCCTAGGAAAGAACAGATAGGCAGAGGGGACAAGCTGGTACAGAGATCCTACCTGGGGAATAAGGGTTTGGTGAATTGGAGGAAGAGCAAGGCGCTGACATGGCTGAAGGGAGTGAGTGGGAGGAGGACAGGTGGCAGGGCAGGGCAGGACACACAGTACAAGGCTTTGCTTCCATAATCAGATTTTGACCTGGGACCTCATGGGAGGGAATAGAGGAGCCAAAAAAAGGTAAATGTTAATTAAGAGGAATGTTTAAAATTAGGAATTGAGTTTTTTGTTTTTTTTTTAATACACATGTTGGGCCCGGCGCAATAGTATAGCGGTTAAAGTCCTTGCCTGAACACACCAGGATTCCATATGGGTGCCAGTTCTAATCCCGGAAACTCCACTTCCCATCCAGCTGCCAGCTTGTGGCCTGGGAAAAGCAGTCAAAGACGACCCAAAGCCTTGGGATCCTGCACCCACGTGGGAGACCTGGAAGAAGCTCCTGGCTCCTGGCTTCAGATTGGCTCAGCTCCAACCATTGCGATCACTTGGGGAATGAATCATTACATGGAAGACCTTCCTCTCTGCCTCTCCTCCTCTCTGTATATCTGACTTTGTAATAATAATTTAAAAATACATGTCATAATGTTTCATTAAATAAAAGGAATCATTTTCTTATTTCCATGTGTGACCCATGGGCTACCTTCCTCTGTCCTCATGAACTCAGCATCACTGCTCTCAGGGACAGTCCATCCTCCACCAAGTGCAGCCAAGGCTGATAAGGCTTTAGAACCTGAGCATGTGAGCAGTTCCTTGGGTGTGCCAGCCTCCTCCCCTTGATTTTTGAATCTTGGGTATTTCTGTCCCTTTGCCCTTTTCAGTGGTTCAGCTGATCATTTGACTCCCACAGAAGAGGAATTGACACGGATCTTAGAGTCCTGTGTTGGGTCGGGGGAGGAGGAGGATCTAAGCCCCACAGTGTGTCAAGGGCAGAGGAGTGGGTGCAGCACCCTCCAAGGTTGGCCCTAAGTGTATGCATTGTCTCTGAGAACTTGAGCAACAATATCAGAACCAATCGAGTTATCTTCTGTCATCTCCATGTGCTGACAGTTCAATGAGTCAGTGAGAAAGTACCATTTCCCCTCCAAAATTCTTAGTTTTTGTTTAACTTCTAAGCAGTTATCATTGAGTTTAAATAACATACATGAAAACTTCAAATCGTACTTTTTTTATCATTTAATAAACATTGTATTCTGCATGGAAATTAATTTGCACACCTCTCAGACCATCAACCCCGAGTGCATGGGGTTTACTTAAAGAGACAGTTTTTAGCAGATGACAGTTATTAGTTAACTTTGGTCTTCATTGATAAACAAGAATCACCCATGATCAATAATCTCAGTCTTATCAATGCGTAAGGAACAAAACTTGAGTTACATCAATCCTGTCATTGTGTGTATAATCACTTGCAAGTTTTGTTTGTGTTTCAAATTTGAAACAGTGAGATAGCACTGAAGTTGTGAGTGACAATATTTTATTTTGGAAAAGGTGCGTTTTAATTTCAAGTATGAACTTATTAACTGCATAATAAATGTAAATCAAAAGTTGTAGCTTCTTGTGGGCATTCGGCATAGCGGTGGGGCTGCCACTCGAGGCACCTGCTCCGTATCATGGTGTGTGTGTATAAGCTCTTTTTCCACTTCCAGTTCTGGCTTTCTGCAAGGGTGCACCCTAGTAGGCAACAAATGACGGGTTAGGCACTTGGTTGCCTGTCAACAATGTGGGAGACTTGAATGAGTTTTGGACTTCTGGTGTTGGTCTGGCCCAGCTTGGGCTGTTGTAGACATTTAGGGAGTGGACTAGCAGTTGGAAGATCTTTTGCTTTTTATTGTTTCTATCTGCCTTTCTAATAAACATTGTTCAAAATTTTTAAAAGTTATATTTTCTTTGAACTGTTAGTTAAATGAGCCTATAAAATAATGTTCATTATTATAACATTGTTATTCATATGTACATTTTACGTTGACACAATATATCATATGAAGTAATTTGATTAGAAAATATACATATCCTATAATCTCATTTTCCATAAAAACATTTATCGTCTCATATTTTTATATAATATAAACAATTATTTGTCACCATTGCATAATTAATTTTAAGTGATTTTTGTCTTATAGGAGGATGCTTATCTGTTCCCAGTGTTGGATGTGTTAAGTGCCTCACTGGATCTAGAACTTCTCATCTTTTCCAAAGTTTTACAGGTAATTCTGCTACAAAGCCAGATGTCAGTCACAATCAGCAGCTGGTTTATTACTTTCTCTCTTTCTCAGCATTCCCCATCTTCCTCCTGGAGACCCCCTCTACACCTAGTTTTTGTCACATTGATGATCCCTGAGATAAATGAAGGGATGCTAATCAAAACCTTTGTTACTCCCAGGCAGTGGAGTGCTGGTAAACACCAAATGCCTGGCTCTGGGGATTTTCAAGCAGTTACAGATTTCCATACAATAAATGTTTCCAGAACCTTCATTCCACATCTCCAAGGTAAGCAAACTTGTTTGGGAAATTCCTGACAATTGAACAATTAACTCTCCCAAGCTGGCCCACATCAGCTGAAACCCCGCTGCTGCTGGGCATTCATAAGACTTTCTGCTAAGAGGAGTGCATTTTCCAGATTATTACTTGAATTTCCAATTGATCTTTAAGATATAGACCCCTCTGAGATGGCTGTGTAATGCAGGGCTCCAGGTGCCACCTGGGAGGTCTGCTTCCCATATCACCATGTCTGGATTCAAATCCTGACTCTATTTCTGTTTCTCACTTTCTCTCAGTCCCTCCACCTCCTATGTGGAATTCAAGGCTCCTAGCTTTACTGTGGCCTACCCATGGCTCTTGCAGGTGTTTGAGAAACAAGCCAGTAGAAGGAAGATCTCTCTTTTTTTTCTTGTCTCTGTTTTTCAAATAATAAAAATTAAAAGCCAGGGCTCAGCATGGTAGCCTAACGGGTAAAGTCCTCACCTTGTACTTGCTGGGATCCCAATATGGGTGCCAGTTTGTGTTCCGGCAGCCCTGCTTCCCATCCAGCTCCCTGCTTGTGGCCTGGGAAAGCAGTTGAGGACAGCCCAAAGCCTTGGGACCCTGCACCTGCATGGGAGACCCAGATGAAGCTCCAGGTTCCTGACTCGGATGGGCACAGCTTTGGCCATTATGGTCACTTGGGGAGTGAATCAACAAATGCAAGACCTTCCTCTCTGTCTTTCCTCTCTGTATATCTGACTTTCCAATTAAAATGAATCAAAACAAAACAGAGCAATAGACCTCTTTTTTTTTCAAGATTTATTTATTTTTACTGGAAAGTCAGATATAACGAAAGGAGAAGAAACAAAGAGGAAGATCTTCCATCTGCTGATTCACTCCCCAAGTAGCCACAATGGCCAGAGCTGAGCTGATACAAAGCCAGGAGCCCGGAACTTCTGGGTCTCCCACACGGGTGCAGGGTCCCAAGGCTTGGGGCTGTGCTCTACTGATTCCCCAGGCCACAAGCAGGGAATTGGATGGGAAGTAGGACTGCCGGGATTATAACTGGTGCCCATATGGGATCCTGGTGCATGCAAGGCAAAGACTTTAACCACCAGGCTATGGCAGCAGTCCTACATTTCTTTCTTTATGTATTTTGTGCAACACACCCCAGCTCTTTATCCAGGAATGATTTGGAATGGCAAGTTAACTTTCTGCCCATTTGTGCATGGACACAAACCTGCAGTGTCTTCCTTCTGCCTTCAAGTTTACTGCTAGGCTGTACCAACAAGAGAACGTGCGCTGCCTCCTCTCTCCCCAGCTAATTTGTTCCCTCTTACAAATCAGCTCATCTTTATTCATCCTTCCATCACAGACAGAGCTGCCCAGCACTGGGGAAGTCTCCATCTTGACTCTGGTGCTTGGCCTACTGCTCAGGAGAATGAGCTTTGTAACCAGACAGACCTGCGGTCAAGTTCCCACTCTACCCACTTACAGGATGCTAGATCATTTACTTCCCCTGAACCAGCAATAGCTGTCACCTTGGAGGGTTGGTGTTTCAATGAGCTAATACTTAAAAATTGCACTGCCTCTACCCAAAACAGAGTTAGCCTCAGTGCATGCTGCTATCATTCTAATTACTCTGATAAGTATTAACGATAATTTCCAGTTGCCATGGAAATGAATAGCTGAAGAGCTGATATACACCAAGATACACACTCCACCGGGCTGAAAACAATGGGAGGATCTTTTCCGTACTGCTCACTGCTTGCAGTGTTGATAATTACTTGCATTGTTTAGAAGCAAGCTGAGTATAAAATTTCTCTGTATTACTTTGTAGAAACAAAGTCTCAGTACTTAATTCCCCCTCACTATTTAACTGTTTACTCAATGTGCTTTGTTTTCTTAATGATTTTGTGAAGACACAAGAACCACATCTTATTCATCAGTAGCCCCTTCCCATGGCTCAGTGGAGTGCCTGCAATGAAGTGGGTTTTCAGTAAATATTTGATTGACCACATTGTTAACAGAAAAGGTTTACACTGCACTTTTGTTTGCTTGTTTTTATGCTGTACGTCTGTATTCTCTTCCTAGTCTTGATTCCAAATCCAGGGACTGTGGAAAAGCAAAGCACCCCCTGCCCCCCCACAGACATGTGCACTGTTTAGATCCATACAGAGGATATGTGTATGGGAATTGCATGTTGGTGTAATGGGTAAGCTTCCACCTGTGATGCCAGCATCCCATTTGGGTGCCAGTTCATGTCCAGGTTGTTCCACTTCCAGCCAGCTCCCTGCCAATGCCCTGGGAAAAGCAATGGAAGATGGCTCAAGTGGTTGGGCCCCTGCACCCACATAGGAGACCCAGAAGAAGCTTCTGGCTTCTGGCTTTGAGCTGGCCAACCCTGGCCATTGTGTCCATCTGGGGAGTGAACCAGCAGAAGGAAGATCTCTCATTCTCTCTGTCTTACCTTTTCCCTCTCAAATAAGTAAATGAGTATTTAAAAAAAAAAAAAAAAACCTGTGTATGTAGATATAGACCCAAAAAAGTGATCAATGACAGTTTCTAGGTTGTGTTCTAAGATAAGATGATGATGACACATTCAGGTTCCCCAGACCTGTGGTATTTCTCTGTGTCAATATTAGAAACTCAGTAGCTCTCAAGGGACACTTGGGAGCCAACCCAGGTTGTGCATATGATTGGCTGTTTGACACTTGCGTGCCTTCACATAAATCTTCCCATGTTGTTCTTGTAATATAACTGGGGAGCAGGAAATCTGCAGGCATTCCAGACATTTAAAAGCCTTGTACAGTGCTTGTTGACCAGTTGTAGAGGATGAAGGGCAGGGGGAAATGGTAGAGAGAGCAGGGGTCTGACTTAAGCCCTTGGGCACACACCATCTGCAGAGCTGGAGCACTGGCCTAGAAATAACTTCAGAGAGAAGCCAATTAATTCTCTGGCTTTGGAAATGTCAGATTTGGGGTGCTCAGAAACAGTCACGTAAGTCCTGTTGTTAAGGAGGAAATTGTATCGTGGACATAAGATAATAGAACATCAGAATGATCTGTGCTGGATCCATGCATTGGGAGGCCATCAGCCATTGATGTCGCTTAAAGACACGGGAGTGAATGAACACACCTGGGAAGAGAAATGAGAATCCCCTATACAGGAAAGACAGAGCAAGAATTGAAAACTTGCAAAGATACAGAAGCAGACTGGGTGCAGCAGTGGACTAGAGACCAAGAGAAAGTGAAATCCCAGCAGGCAAGGAGAGGAAAGAATTGGAGGCTGATTTCTAAAGTTCTTCCTGTTAGTTATTTAAAAAGGTGGTAGAGTTCTAGTTCTAGTTCATACAATATTACGATATCTTACGCGCAGCTAATTCCCGCAACCTGGTTCTTTACCATGAGCTGAAAACACCAGACGCAACGAGGTATCTTAGGATTATTCCAGCGGGCAGGAACAGGGGAAGGGGAAGGGGGGAAGTGGGACAGAAGGAGGAGAGAGGGAAAGAGCAAAGACGAGAAGGGAAGAGGGGGAGAGCCGCACCTGGAGGCCTTTTTTGTCTGCCTTTGTGGGAGGCGGGGATTGGGAGGGTTTGAGGGCAGGCCCCAGGGATTAGTGCCTGGGAATGATTGGTGAGTGGGTGGGGTTGGGGAAGGGGCTGGGAGATTGGGGGTGGGATTCTCAGGTGGAATGCCAGGTTATATCATTTCGTGAGCTGTGAGGAAGAAGAAATGGCGCAGGGTCCAGGGTGGGATACTGGAATAAGTCCTTACACTTCCTTTATGAAGGGGCACCTTGGGTTCAACAGCAGTAGGAGGGAAGGCAAGGAGACAGGAGTGAGTAGGAAGGGAAATACAGCTGCAGCGCAGGACCTAGGATCCCTGGACCCACCCCAAACTGCTCAGGGCCTGGAAGGGCTGCCAGCTCTCAGCCGGGATAACCAGGCCTTTGCCATCCTTCAGGGCAGCCGCACTTTGATGATTGGCTGTCCGTAGCTGAGCTCATACCTGAGCAGGCTCACAGCTGAAGACCCTGTCACCCCTGGCAGCTGGGAACTCAACCCCTGTCCTGGAGGGCATCTGGGCCAGACAGTCCTCAGTCGTGTGAAGGTTCAGCTAGGCTGATGGTGGGAAAATCTGTATTGCACTTGGCACAGTTTCTGTTTGCTGGCTGTTATGGGTTACAGCCTGGTTTTCAGATGGTCAAAGAATTGAGTAAGGAGAGTGTGCCAACAGTGCTTGCATTTGAAGGGAGGGTGCCTAGAAGGAGGTCAAGACTCAAGAGTGGGCTATGGATAGAAGGACATTGGAAGTTCTTCTTTCTCCCTGGGAACCCACGGTGTTCCCATGCTTGGTACACTTCACTAAAATGTGTGCAAGTCACCCTTCAGAGGCTAGGGCTCAGGAAGATGGCATCTCCTTGCCATCAGAGCATCCCCATCAGCCAGGATGCGAGCAGAGTCAGCACAGGTGAGCACTGTAGGTGGAGGGGTTTCTCCAAGGATTTAGACATCAGTGCTCTTACACATTGGTGTGCTGTTGCCTCTGCTTCTCATATTACAGCTGCATCGCTATGATCAGCCAGATAAGCAGGAAAGGGGACAAGCTGGGAGAGCATGAGGGGGAAAACCTGCACCCAATACAATAGGTAGGCTTCATGAGGCAAATGCAATCCACAAGAGCAAATGACCTCCAACCCTGTCAAACTGAGTGAACTGTGGGATAATCCAGAGTCTTTCCATGGAGTTCCAGGCACACCTGGTAGTGCAGGGAGGAGGGGGGAGGAGCTGGGAGCCTGGGTACCATCCCACACCAGGAAGGGAGTGAGCTGGCATAGGAATGGGGGCTGCTCTGCTGCTTTCTTGCAAATGTCAACCAGATTTCTTTTGTGGCCAACCCTAATCCCAAATTCTACAGAGAAGTAATCTTTCTTCTTCAAATGTACACAGAAAAAGTCACCACAGTGCCCCCAAACAACACAAGGCCTGTAATTTCCTTGCAGAATTAGCATAATGGGCCACA